GGGCTGAACCAGACCAAGCCAGATTGGGGGGCTCTGAGCCCCAGGCTCCTTCCCAGCCCTGGCCTCCCCTCTTACAGTTGATGGTGGCATCACCCTCGAGAAGGAAATCTCCAAAGATGAGCTGGTTGCTGTCCTGGAGCTCTACCAGGAGGTGCGAGGAGCCACCTCGGACATCGCCTGGCTGCTCAAGGTCCTCTCCCAGATGGAGAGACATGAGGTGAGGAGCCTCAGGGTCGCCTCCAGTGGAGGGGACAGGTTTTGGCTTTGTGGAGGGCCTCCCCCACTGTCATCCCCTCAAGCCGGCTGAGGCAGGGCACCAGGGCCCCCGCTCGGACTGATCCTAAGCCTCCGTGCTTTTTTAGCAAAACACCGTGGTGTTTCTGGGACGGAGATCAAGGACCAAAAGTGACCTGAGCCTAAAGATGTACCAAGAAGAGATTCAGGTAGGCGTGCCCCTGCCCCCGCTGCCTAGACCCTCACCCCCAGCTCCTGCCTGGGGGTGGGCCTCCCTGCTGCTGAGCGGGGGCTACTGTCCTGTCCCTGCCCTGAGTGTGGAGTCGGGGAGGCTCAGTGCAGGGATCAGGGCCATCCGTTAGACCGCTGCCTGTGGCGTCTGGGACGCAGCGCTGGGCAGGTCCTTCCCCAACACAAGCAGCTCTCCCATACGGCCTTGCCCCTTGAGCATTCTCCAGAACCTATCCCGATTTCTTACTCTGAGCCAGAGCCACAAGTGCGGTGTGTTCAACAGGAGATGTCATGGGCAAGAGGGGGGTGCAGGCCCCGGAGAGCTAGTGAGGGCTGGGCTCGTCAGAGAGGGCAGCCTCTTCTCGGGGCCATCAGGTTCTCCTAGGGCCTTGGATCCCTTGGGTGTTTTGGCTGTTTGAGGTTTTATTGTGGTTGTTCTAATTTAAGAGAAGGGAGAAGTCCTTTTTTTTTTTTAGTAAAATCTCCCTGTCTTTCCACATTGGGAGCTAGGTAAACGATCTTGCAAAGCACCATGTGGGCTGACACCCTGCATTCCAGACAGAACCCACAGAGTGCAGGCCACCAGCACATGAGCTCTGTTTTGGGTCTTCCGTTCAGCCTCCGGGTCCCAGGGCTCAGGGGAGAGTCTCCCACGCCACCCATCGTGACTCAGCTGTTTCTGGCATCCTAACAGCCAGAAACCCTCTGTTTTCACTGGGACAGTGATGACCAGTGTCCTCGCCCAGAAGGCAGGGAGTCTGTAGCACGCCAAGCTGACTCACATTCTCTGTGAGAACACAAGGGGTACGGACACATAGTGGTTCGTGAAACTGGGGCCACAGAGATGTGAAACTCACATGAACTTCAGCGTCATGAGACCTGGGTTTGATTGCTGGCTCTGTGACCTTGGGCACGTCCCTCAGTCTGTTCACACCTGTGAAAGGGGGACAGTCTCTGGCTCACAAAGCAGAGAAGATGGCTCCAACGTGGGCATGCACTCTGCTGCTCTCCTTTGTCCTCTGCCCGTCTGTCCACTCCCGGCCTCAGTGTCCCCCTCTGTACAGTGAGGGGGCACAGAAAGAAGGCCGTCTCAGTCTTGTTTAAGCTCCCACGTCCTGTGGCTCAGATTCTTTAAACACCTAAGGTAGCTTTTCTAATTCCTCAATCACCTGTCTCTGAAAATGTCAGGTGACAAAACAGTATGGGTCTTTGGTGGGTTACGTTTTTTTTTGCAAAATGCTCTCACAGCCTTATTGGAGGGCAGCAAAAGCAATGTGAGAGTTAGGAGAGGCTCTCAACTTCATCCAGCTTCATACAACTTCTAAGCCTCGGTTTTCTCGGGTGTATCGTGACACGGTTCCTGCCAAGCTCGAAAGGGTAACACCGGGGAATCCCTTTGTGAAGGACAAAAGATTATGTTCACAATCAAACAGAGGATGATTATGACTACCTGGGCCTCGCTCAAAGAGATGATATGTGCCAAGGAGAATATTTATGAGGAGGCTTGCAAACCTCTAACAAGGGAAAGATTTCACGGTAATTTTTTTCTGTTTGGGCTACACGCAGAATTCCCAGCAGGCCTGGGGGTGTCCTGAGTGAGGCTGGCTCCCGCTGCCCGCTGTGTGCCCCAGGGTGGGGCAGGGGCTCTTCCGGCTGGGGCAGGCACGGGGCTGGCTGGGAGGGGTGCCGCCCGCTCAGCGCCCCGTCTGCGCTCTGCTCTAGGAGTGGTACGAGGAGCATGCCTGCGAGCAGGAGGAGCGGCAGGGACAGCTCATCGGCAGCGGCCAGGTCCCCGCCACCCAGCAGCTCCCAGGTGGCCGCCAGCGCTCCCAGACCGTCACCTAGCCCCAGCACGACAGCCATCTCTTCTATGCAATAACACAATAGTATTATTTTACTACAACGTATTGAAAAAAATGCGCGCGTGTGTGTGTGCACATACACGCATTCATATATATGCACATATTTATATATAGGAAGAGAAAAAGACAAGATGGGGTTTGGTGTGTAACCACCCTGCCCTGTTTTTTTTAACCCCAGAGGTCACTCTGGTTTGGGGGGGTCAGGCTGCCGTGAGCTCTGCCTAACGTGGAAAGTTCCAGAAGGCCTCTTCAGAAGACCACTTGGATAGATCCTGCCGATCTCTGCAGGGCTCACCTTCAAAGTGGGCCAGCCCTCCCTAGGCCAGATCCACACCGTCTTCCCAATGCTGCTCTCACACCCCCGTCCCAGCTGACCGCTTCCCCACTAACTTTCCCCGCGGCCCGTGTCACGGGGTGTCTGGCCTGCTTTAGGGACAAAACCACTTAGGATGTGGGTTAGTATTTCTATAGATATGATAATATAATAGAACATTTCCTTGGGGGACCAGTCCCTAGGACCTAATGGATAGAATACTCAAGGGGTGTGATCATACCCATGCGGTCGGATCTCAGCCAGTGCTGGGCAGCACGAGATAGCACGTGATTATGCAAATTCCACATCCTGGCTCTGTAAGCCTTCTCTCCCACACTTCCTTTGGTTTAACCCTTGTTGCTGCAGATCCTTCTAAAATGGCCTCCTTTAGAATCTCAGGTGGTGGAAAGCAAGCAAGAGGGCCGGGCTAATGGCTACCCGACCCATTCCTGAGATGGGCTTTCGCCACTAGAACCCTTTTCCTTGTGATTATCTTGTTCTAGCAGAGACATCTTGGTTACAGGATTCTGCTAAAGACAATGGCAGATCCTTCACATTGTGCATTAGGTTCTGCTGCTGGGAAGGGGTGCATGGAGCAAACGCTCACCGTGGGAGGTCCACGGCAGGCCTGCGGCTGAGCCCCTGCCTATCCACTGGGACAGCTCCCCCCGCCCCCCGAACCCACCTTGAGCAGTCCCCTCCGTGGACTCCACTGAGGCCAGAATGGGGACCCGGCTGCCCCAGGGTTCTTCACTGGCACAGCTATGTTCAGGTGAGCCCTCAGTTAACCGAGTCCCCCCTATATCTTGTGGGGGTTCTCCTGAGATCAGCAGGGTTGGGGTAGGACCGGTGCTTGAATCCAGAGCAGGCACTGGGGTCAGCAGCCCCAGTGAGCGCTGTTGGCATTGGCAGCAGAAGCAGGGCCAGAACAGAGGGAGCTCTGGTTCAGCTCCGCTGGGCTGCAAACCGAGCACGGTGCAGGAGGCAGTGGGATGAAAGGGGTCGGCAGGGGGCAGGGGAAGCAGCCCCCGCTGGGCATCCTGGTCTGACCCCAGCTTTCCAGATGCCTCCACTGCCTCCCAGGACTTAGGAAGGTGGGTGAGCAGAAGTTTCCCCCCTGCCACGCCCTCCTAGCAGGGTATGGCCTGATCCCAGGGGAGCCATGCTGGCTCCCCCACCGCCTCTCCCCGGCCATCCCCAAGGCCAAGGCTTCTCGAGGGTGGCCCTGGAGGGGCTGATTCCAGAGCCAGCACTGCACAGCTGTGCCCCTCAGCAGGGGAGAAGTGGTGGACGTTTGTTTCTGTTTTTAAAGCACAGCCCTTTGGGGAAACAGTGAACCAGGGAGATCCCCACGGGGCATCAGGAGCCTGGCCTTGTCCACTTTGTCTCTGGACAGCCGCAGCCCTGCTGCACCGAGCCCCAGGCCAGAACCCCTTGCCCTCTCCAGAGAAGGAATTTTTATTTGTTTGCACAATTGGGTGCCTTTTAGCATTTGTGTGTTGAAATGGGTATTCTGGAATCAGGAGTCAAGGGACAGCTTTCGAAGGAGGATAGGTCCTCTGCCCTGAGTGTTTGAGCCTCATTCTAGTCTCTTCGCCTGGTGAACCAGGGAGGGGTGCCAGGGCAGCTGAGGCCCCTGGTGGGGGGGGGGGGGTGGTACCGGGACAGGTCAGGTCTCGCCCTCCCTCCAGCCCCGTCCTCTGAGAAAGGCCCTGGTTCTGGCTAGACGGGAGGAATGCAGCGGCAATCCTGCCGCGGGCCAGACCCCGGTCAGGAGAGGGCACCCTTGTCATTGAGGCTAAGGACAGGCTGGCCCCTCGGGGCCACCCAGGCCTGTGAGATCTGAGGGACCTGGGACATCGCCCAGCTCAGACGTCCTCTCACCACCCATGTCCTAGCCGAATGAAACCAAGGTCAACCTTACCAACCTGCCCTCGGCCGTGATGGCATTGTACCCCCGCCCCGCTTTGGGGGTGGGGGGGGCGCCACCTGGTCCCTCCTCCTCGCTTCCCTCCCCCAACCCAGCCTTACTCCACACCACGTGACAATCATTTTGTATGGATAGAGGGAGCCACGCTGTAAGGTTTTGTACATTGGTGATTTGTTACCTGGAAAACCCACTGTGTCTCCAGATTTCCGGCATATTAATAAAAAAGCCTCTGCTTTGTAAACGTGGCTGCCGCCTCGTGACTTCCACCAAGTGACATCCTATGGCTTCTGGCACCGCGGGGGGTTGAGGGGGAAAGGGGCGAGGTCCCATCGTGGTTGTTCCTGACCCCACCTCAGGCCCAAGCCTTTGGCCTTGGAACCAGCCCCTCCTCACCTGGCCCAGGTAAGGAAGAACTGGTAAAAGATGGGTGTGCTGCTTTCAGTACACGTGAAATATTTAATCATTTTTTTCACTGGGGGAAAAAATAAGTTGAATTGCTTTTCTGCAGCTGCTGACAGAAGGCAGTTGGGCAAACTGAACGGTTGCTCCTTGAAAAGGCAGGTCTGTAGCTGACAGCAGGAAGGCACTGGGGAGCACTCTCTCCGTCCTCCCTAGAGCTTCCGGGCATTGGAACCCCGGCCCTGGGCTCCCCCTGAGGGAGGACAGGGCACAGTCCAACTGATGCCTGTTTCACAGCTGGGGAAACCCGAGGTTCAGGGCACAGGGGAGTCAGCCAACAGCCAGCGGACAGTTCGAGAGGTAGAGGCCGGAGCTGTGCCGTCCAATATGGTGGCCATAATGGGGCCAGTGCCATACGCTGCTATTTTGGAGCCACTGAATAATACATATAATATAGGGCCTGTTTCTTTTGGCTTTTATTAACGTGGCGACTAGAAATTTCAAAATTCGGCATGTGTCTCACGTTTCATTTCTGTCGGACGGGACAGCTCTAGGACACAGCCCGGGATGGCCGGACGCCCACCATGTTCTGCCCGCCATCTGAGTCGCCCTGACACCCTAAGCCTGGGGTTGACAGCAGTCTGAGTGAGCACTCAGGAGAAGAAGCAGGAAGGCAGCAGGGCATGACTACAGGCCCTAGAACACTCTGTTGGTGTTTTGACACCGGCCGGAAGGCACTCAGCCTCTGAGAGGCTCCACGGATAATCCAAGGAAGTCTACCTTCTGTCTGCAGCTCTGTGCACAGCACAGCCGGGTCTCCGATTTCCCAGAAACAAGGCCTAGCTGTTCTCCCTGCACAGGTGGCAGCCAGGAACCTCCAGCAGAGGCAGCGGTCCCTGCCGCCCCCAGCCACCCCCTTCACAGCCACCCAGGCCAGACGTCCATCTCGCCGCCTGCAGTGACACCTCCTGGCCACCAGGTGGCCCTGGACACGTGGCGTCATTCACGCACTTTTCAAGTGAATCACCCCAAATTCCGTCAGCAGGGCCACCACGAGGAAGTTCACATAGAAGAGGAGCAGGCAGAAGCCGTAGACTTTGTTCAGCTGGAAGCACTGCAGTGGGACCGAGACCAGGGAGCAGACGAGGCTGAGGCCCAGGGCGCCCACCAAGACCCACACCAACAGTCCATCTGGCTCCAGCTGTGGGGGCAGTGGGGGGGGGGAGGGGGGAGAGGCCCGGTCACTGCAGCCACCAGTCACCCGCCCCTCGCTAGGGGCCAGGGCAGGACTTCTGGCCCCCTTGGCCACACCCCACCGTGAAGTTTCCTCCTTTGAGCACCCTAACTTGGGGTCATTTGTCGTGGCAGCCCTAGGACACTAATACAGGAGGTTACATACACACGTTACATGCAGATGCTGAAAACTTCTCAAGCCAGCCATACAGAAGAGTAAAAAGAAGTGAAATTGTCCTCTCCCCACCTCCCTTCCTTCCAGACTTAACGTTTGTCTAACCGCACACTGGGCAGTGTGCTGGGTGTGTTACCCACACCATCTAGCGTCTCATCTTCCCATCCGCCTGCGAGGGGAGCGCCATTACCCCCAGTGCACAGACGAGCAAACTAATGAGGGAGGGACAGAGCCCACATCGACGTCCAAGCTCTCAAGGATACCTTATCCTTCTTCCCCACACAGTGATGTGTATGCACACACACACACACACACACACACACCCCAGACCTGCACAGCAATTCTGAAACCAGAAATGGAATTGTGCAGTACGTAGCGTTTGAGAGCAACCTGTGTTTTCCACCCCACACAACCCACGGCCATCCTTCCCTGATGACCTTCCCTGATGCCCTGTGTCTTAATTTACAGCGGGAGCATTTCGTAAACTCAGTACAAAGGCAGCGGAATGCAGACACACATGCATGCATGCATGCACGCATGCTCCACAAAGAGCAAGAGAAAGTTAGAAAGAGAGCCAACCCTAAAGCCTCATTATCTGCAACTGCCTGGGAACTGATAATGAAAGCAACCTATGAAACCCATGAACAAAATTTGCAAATGGTGTTTACCTTTTAGAAAAGCAAACTTTCCTGGGTGCCTGGGTGGCTCAGTCGGTGAAGCACCCGACTCTTGACTCTGGACTTCAGGTCAGGTCAAGATCTCAGGGTTGTGAGATCGAGCCCCTGCTTAAGATCCTCTCTCTCCCTCTCCTTTTGCCCCTCCCCCCTCACAAAAAAAAAAAAAGGATCGTCTATTTAAAGAAAAGCAAAGCAAACTTTCCAAGCAGTAAGTAGCTATTTGCTTGTGGGCGTGGCCACTGCCAAAGGCTGGCCCCATGCCAGCTAATTATAAGCCAGCCACAAGTCCCACCATCGTCACCACTGTCACCATCGAGAGCTGAGAGAGAGTGGGTGACTGTTCCCATTAATACCGCCATCTTTCGGCCTCACAGGACCCCAAGTGCTCTTCCAAGTGGGGGAGGGAGCCTGCAAACCATCCCCCGAGGCCATGCCCCCCCTTCCCCATCCTCATCATAATCCTTCTCTTGTTTGGTCTCTGAATTCAGGTCCTTCAAAATAGAGATGCCCGATGCGCACCGCAGTGCAGTATTTGAGACTAGCAAAAGTTCCCCTAGGAATCCTGATTTCTTCTCTAGAAAATTTGGAGTATTTGGCCACGTGAGGCCCACCTGAGTCACCTACACGTTTCGGTTACCTTCCCGGCCCCGGCAAGTGTTGGGGTTTTCAACCTCTGTTAGAACAGGCTTTCTCAAGCGACCTACCTTCATCAGTCCCCAGGGAGCTTATTTTAAAATGCAGGTTTCCAGGTCCCACCCCTGCAATGCCTGGGAACGGAGGTCTCACGCACCCCCAGGAAATTCTTAGGCATCCTGGAAACGTGAGAACCTCCACTTGAGGTGTCTCAGAACCTTCTCCAAATCTGCCAGGCTCCCGCCTGCAGGGGCTTAGTCCCCCATCCTGGTCTACCCAGGAAGCTTGGGGGGTGACCATCAACCCCACTTCACAGGCAAGGAGACTGAGGCTCAGGGATGTCCTAACTCACCCACAGTCACACAGCAAGAGGCTTAAGTGATGGGGGACCATTACCTAAAGCCAGGGCCTTCCTGCCCCTTCCCTGAAGTGACATCCTAGTTACTCTATGAACTTGTTAGGAACACGTTTTTTCAACCCTCTACTCAAGATATTTTTAAAATGTTCTACAAATCAGGCTTGTCACAAATTCAGACAACGCCCCTCCCCAGCAAGCATGCGCCGCTGAGATGTGAGCGCTCTCCCACCGGGGGGGACCGCCTGAGAAGGGGCCGCGTACAGAAGTGTCTGGCCGCTCACCTTTACCTCCGCCACGTGGCTCCTGGAGATCTGAAGCAGGCAGCCCAGCCCCACTCCCACCAGCAGATCTGTGGCCCAGCTCAGGAAGTTTGCTGGAACAATGCCGCCCCCCACCCCAACTGCATGCCCGTCACCTTTCCTATGGTCTCTGCACCCCCACCCCCAAAACACCCTCTCTGAGGGGACCCTACCCAGTGTTAGCCCTTTTAGGAAGGTGAGTGTCTAGTGTGCATTCTGCACCCGATCTGTAAGCAAGGAATGAGGGGAGAGAAGTGCTTGGTACACGGCTAAGCACTTGACTTCCCTGTGGCTGGGCGAGGTGACCACCCACCGTCCCCTGGGGGGCTGGTGACGGAGCACAGGTCAAAGCCATCTCTAGGTGTTGTTCAGGGGACCCTGCTCCAGGCAAGGCTCTTTCCTTCCCACCCCAGCCTGAGGGATCAGGGGAGGCCACAGCCCAAAAGCCGGGAGCAGGTCTCGGTGGGTGCAAAGGGCCCCAGAAAGCCCTGTCCAGCTGGGGAGTGACACACAGCAGGCACGCCTCCCGGGCCCCGCCCATCCTGGCTGTGCTGTGCAGCCACCCCCGGCACTGGGCTCGGCCCGCGGGCCCTTTCGTGGTGGAGCCTGGGGACAGCTGCCCTCCAAGTGCTTGCAAATAATACGACTTTATTTCACAACCAACAGCATCTCCCCGTTGGTTGGGCACACAGCCTGTGCCAGGCGCTGCCCTGGGTGCTGTGCCCCATCTCAACCCATTCTGAATGCGCAGAGATGGCCGAGGTGCAGACAGTAAGATGTATGCAAAGCCCCGAGGTCCCACAGCAGGCACGTGGTGGCGCTGGAACTGGGAGCCAGGACCAGCTACTTTCGAAGCCCTTTCTTCTCCCAGCCCCAGGCTGCTTGCTTGTTACAAGTTACAACCTGCAGCCCCATCTGGCCCACTGTCCGCTTTTATAAATAAAGTTTTATTGGAACAGAGCCACGCCCATTCATTTCTGTAGTGCCTATGGCTGGTCTCACACTGTGACAGCAGAGTCAGGTAGTTGCCAAAGAGGTTGGTAAGGCACACAAAGGCTAAAATATTTACTCTCTGGCCCTTTCAGAAAAAGCTCGCCAACCCCTAACATCTTTGGACCATGACATCTGTAAGCAAGAGGAAGAGAATCTTCCATAGGGCACAGGAAAGCTCAGCATGGGGGCGACTACCGCCACCGCCCTAACAGTAATATCTGCCATCCACTGAGTGCTTGCCACGTGCCACGCATTTCTGTCACCTCATTCAGTCCTCAGAACGACCCACCTGAGGTTGGTCCTCTCAACATCCCCATTTTGCAGATGAGGAAGCTGAGGTCCCAGCAGCTGTGTCTCCTGCCCCAGGTGTTCCAGAAAGGGCCAGTCCCAGGAGTGGGGCATGGAGCACACCCATGGCCCTCGGAGCCCGTGCCACGGGGAAGGCAGTCCCACAAAGGATACTCAAGATGATGCCGCCGAAACAGGCTGAGAACGCCATCCGTGGGTAGCCCTGGCGGGCCAGTGTGAAATCTGAGAAGGCATCTGCATGGAAACAAGAGACCGCCTTGAATGGTGAGTGGCTCCCCCTGGTCCTCTTTGGTCATTCACTCCTTATTGCTACCCACAGTCATTCAGTCAACAAACACCAAGGAATGCCCATCTGGGCCTTGCACTAGCTAGCTGGGCATCCCACGCCCATGACACATCCCATGACACAATTCCCTCCTTGATTCTTTCTACCCCATTCTTTCCCACCCATGGGCAACTCTGGGGATGTGACATACCATTACTGCTAGCACGCATAGCACCTTTATGCAAATTCGGAAAAGGTGCCCAAAAGGTGAGTGGAAGGAGAGCTAGATTTCAGCCCCCCTGACTCCTTGTCTGGATGTTTTTGTGCAGTGCACAACTTAGCCAACCCTACTTGGCAGCTATAGTTACAGAAGGGTATACGTATGCATGTGTGAAGGCCTGCATATGTCACACAACCATGTACACATTCAGCATGGTTGGCTGCAATGGGCTCCATGTCCTGCCTGAACTCTGGGGAGCAGAGAGTGGGGAAGAGGCTGGGGCTTCTCTAGTCTCCTGGCCCAGGTACGATCCAGGCCACCTTATCCGGATGCCCAGTGATGGTCATTCCAAAACAAGAGTGGGCCTGAGCACATGCTGAGGGCAGGTGCCCTAGATGCCCCTGCTCACGTGCACTCTGGCAGTGACGTGGCTGCACTCATCCCGGAACCCCAGCCGACCCTGAGTCACCTCCAATGCTATTCCCCCAGGCCAGCAGCGTGAGCCCCAGGACAGTGTTGCTCAGCCGGAAGACCACTCCCAGGGACCGCAAGATGTTCACCACCTCCGTGGCCGCTGCGTTGATCCACAGGGCGCTGGTCAGGAAGCCCAGGAAAGCAAAGAGCTGGGGAGGGAATGGGTGTTGATGGGACCAAGGCCAGTCCCCAACAGGGATACGGTCCCCAACGGGGCCATGGTCTCAGTTCCTCATCTGCAAAATGGGATGATCACAGTACCCACCCCGGAGACTGTCATGAGCATAAATGAGTTAATAGATGCAGAGCAGTTAGTGCTTGGCACATAGCAAGTTCTCCCTAGTATTACTCTTTTGTCAGGAAAGAGTTCAAGAAGCTTCCTTCAGCTTCCAGGCTCAGGACCAAATGCTGTCCCATGATTCCAGAAAAAAGAAACTCCATGCCCATTAGCAGTGACTCCCCATCCCATGCAGCCTTCCTCCAGCCCCGGGCCTCCACTACTCTGCTTCTTGTCTGTATGGATTTGCCTGTTCGAGACACATCATTACAGAGCCTCACACCACACGTGGTCCTACACAACTGGTCTCTCTCGCTCGGCGCTGTGTCTTCGAGGGACATCCACGTAGGAGTATATGAGGTACTTCAAAACCCAGTAAAAACACTGGCTGAACACTATTTCTCTAAGTCATCAATTGCTTGAAAATTCGACCTGCTTTGGATTGACACACTCAAGTGTTTCTCAAAATAAAAGCTGTATTTTTTTATCAATAGTAAAAAAAAAATTAAACTTTTAAGTGCACTTTGAAAAGTACATTCTGAACAAACTGCCTAAAAATTCCTCAGCGTGCTGCAGGGTGGAGAGAATGGGAAAAAAAAAAAAACAAAACCCACATACATCAGACAATTCCATCCCTGGAACGTGGCTGGGAGACACGCAGGTGCTTCCCCGAGAGTGAGCAGGAGAGAGTCTGGTAATTGCTCAAAAAGTGAAACATAACGTCTGCCCCCGCAGCTTCACCCAGGAATGCACCCAAGAGAAATGAAAGCCTATTTCCAGACCCACGTGTTCACACAAACATCATAGCTGCGTTCCTTGTTAACATCCCCAAAGTAGGGACAACCCGTGCCCGCCGGTGATGAACAGATAAACAAAACGTGCCGTATCCATACCATGGATGTTCAGCCATCCCTAATCCCCGGCTGATGCATGGAACGACCTTGAAAACATGATGCAAACTCGCAAAAGACCACATATCGTAGGATCCCATTTCCGTGAGAAGTCCAAAACTTAGGCAACTCCACAGGCACAGGACGCAGACTGGTGGGGGCCGGGGGCTGGGGGGGGGTGCGGAGAAGGGAGGGAAGGAAGAAGACTGCTCCTGGGTGTAGGCCTTGAGATGCTGATAGGGGTACAACTCGGTGAGTGTAATAAAAACCACCGAATCCCACGCTTTAAATGGGCGAATTGTATGGTATGGGAATTACATCTCAATAAAATAAAGCTGTTACCAAAACAAACAAACGAACAAAAGCCCCAAAAAACAAAAGCAGAAAAACCTCGAAAAGGAACACAACTATCATCCAAAGTGGCTTTAAAGACCTGTCATTACGGAAAGTGATTCCTGGCCTATCTGCCCCAGGGGCACGAGCAGGACACCCTCCTGGGAGATTCCAGTGTCCCCTTGCCCCACCTGGGAGTGCTGGGGATTCTTACCCAGTGAAGCCTGGGGGGCTCGCTGTTGGATGTGGCAAAAAAGGTCACTGCAGCCACGGCTGTCCCTGCAATCACCACGATGACCCAGACGGGAACGAGGCCACCTATGTCATAGACGCCATCTGTGGAGGGGCAAGAAAGGGGCGTGGGACTCTCCACAGCTTCAGCTCGACCCCTGCTCCTGGAGGGCACAGCCCTTCCCCAGAATGAGTGGGAGGGCCTGGGGGAGGGACCCAGGGATAAAACTCACTTACACTCGATTGTTTGGACATACAATGTCCCCAGCACCGTCCCAGACACTTCAGGGGCACAGAGAAATTAAAGACAGAGCCCTCACCCTCAAGCTAGCCACATTGGAAAGAAGGCAGACAATGTGACAGACAGACTCTCCCCAGCCTTCTGCTAGGAGACCGGGATGGGAACGGCTGTCCTCGCCCATGCCCATGGCAGACATCACTAATCAACCATCATGCTGATGCTTCTTCCAACTGAGCTTCAAGGCAGCACCCTCCAGCCAGGCATTGCCAGTGGATGGGCATCACTCCACTAAATGAGCTGTACAGTCGAACCCAACCCTTACCCACTGGTCCTGGAGCCTAGCACCTGCCCTCTTGATAAGTCCACTCCACAAACCAACCCATTCGAAGTTATGAAAGTTCCAGGGGGCGCCTGGGTGGCTCAGTTGGTTAAGCATCCAACTCTTGATTTCAGCTCAGGTCATGATCTCACGGTCATGGGATCAAGTCCTGCGTGGGGCTCCCTGCTCAGCAGGGAGTCTGAGATTCTCTGGCTCCCTCTCCGTCTGCCCCTCACTCCCCCCACCCCCACTCTCTCTCTCTAAAATAATAAATAGGGACGCCTGGGCAGCTCAGTCGTTAAGCGTCTGCCTTCGGCTCAGGTCATGATCCCAGGGTCCTGGGATCGAGCCCCGCGTCGGGCTCCCTGCTCCACGGGAAGCCTGCTTCTCCCTCTCACACTCCCTCTGCTTGTGTTTCCTTTCTCGCTGTGTCTCTCCCTGTCAAATAAATAAATAAAATCTTTAAGAAATAAAAAAATAATAAAATAAAATAATAAATAAATAAATAAATCTCTTTTTTTTAGATTTTATTTATTTATTTGACATAGAGAGAGAACACAAGCAGGGTGAGCGGCAGGCAAGGGAGAGGGAGAAGCAGGCTCCCTGCTGAGCAGGGAGCCCGATGCGGGGCTCGATTCCAGGACCCTAGGACCATGACCTGAGCCGAAGTCAGATGCTTACCTGACTGAGCCACCCAGGCGCCCCTAAATAAATAAATCTTTAAAAAAAAAGTTATGAAAGTTCCAGGGGCTTCACATCAAAACATGAAAAGAGGGAAACCCTACAGGCAGACGGCACACTCTAGAATTTTCCACACACAACCCTTTCCACCACCAGGGAGTCAGTACTGGTCTCAAAGGCAATGGATGGTTTGGCTGCCCAGACACCTGCATCAAGACTTTCCTCTTGTTCTTCTTCAGTCTAGCTCATTGGCTCTCCAATGTCAGTCGGCATTTAAGAATTACACAAGGGAGCTGATACACAAAATCGTGTCCACAATACACTGTGCGTGAATCTCAGGAGGTAATTTTGACTGAACTTGGTTCTCACCGGTAGCTCCACCTTTGGAACCTGACACCTGAACGAGGGGGGACCCTTTCTCTGTGTTTGCCAGGTCTGTTCTGGGGGAATTTTAGGAGGTGGCTGGGGTGTGGGGTGGTCGGGAAGGGCTTCTTTGAGTGCTGAGGATGTATGATGAGGCATAAGCAGACAGGGGGTACAAGGGCCACAGGGGGAGAGGGGAGAGCTGGGTGGGAAGGAACCAAGCAGGTGGATGCCAGCAAGAGCAGAAGAGACCAGGGAACGCGGCTGCCTTACGGATGGCCAGGGTGGTATGGACTTGGACCAACAGGTACTGGGGAGCCATGGAGGTCTTTGAGTGGAGGAGTGACCACAACATAGGAAAGGCAGCACTTTAGTAAGATGGCTCTGGGGTTGTCTGAGAGGGAGGAGGCTGGGAGGCTCTACTGGCAGACAAGACACCCCCTCCCACAGGGAGCCAAGTCCAGGCCTCAGCCTGGAAGGGGGTCATAAATGCTTTCGCCTGAACCAGTATCTCCCCAGTGTGGACCTGCTATCACCGGATAGTGCTGGTATGTGGACAAGACACTACCATGCCAGAGTCACATCTCAAGTGAGCGATTTCTCCTCCGGAGAGAGTCTCCATGGTGTGAATAGGTCGGTAACGTCTCTAACCCCTGCTACACGCCCTATGGAACAGAACCTCTAGGCTCAGAGGCTTTATGTTTATTGTCTTTCTCTTTGCAGTTACCTTGAACTTACTGGCAGTGAAGCCAGTTTCCTATCGGTGCAGGTGATATTGTTTCCTTTTCAATAACTTTAAATTTAAAAACAGCTGATTCAAGAGAAAGGTCAAATGGCATAGTATACAATGGGAGAAAAATCAAGAAGCTGGCTCGTGAATGACTGATGCTTGGGGTCCACTCTTTTAAGAAGCCCCAGAGATGAAAGCGAGTCCCTGGCAGTGCCCTGGCCCGGGAGGCTCAACAGGGAACAGAAGACTGACGAACCAGACAGCTGGTACCCCTAAAGGCCGCCCTTCTCAGCTCTGGGGTCACACCGAGCCCTGGTAGGCTCTTGCACAGTGTCCCCCCCCCCGGCCCCATAAATCCGGGAGGGGACCCACAGGGAATTTGCTGACCCTGTTAGAGCAAAAAAATGCCTCGCCCAGCCATGCATTTGCCCCCAGCGCCCTACCTCCTCCGCCTCCAGGTGATGCCCAGGGAACAGAGAGGCACGGGCAGCAAGAGATACTAAAGGCAGACAACAGGAAGAAATGCCTGGGCATTTCTGGAGCCAGAGCAGGTCAGAAAGGGCAAGGACAGCCTGGAGCGGACAGAGAAAACTCCAATTCCCCAGCCGGGTCCCCCAAGAGGCAAGGGAGGGGAGGGGACGGTCCTGCTGCGTACCACGGGCACCCCCCACCGGGGAAACGCCCTTCTCAGCGCCAGCCAGTTCTGCCTTCCGGAGCGCTGGACCTGGATTCTCATGTGAAATCTCCAAATGTTTTAACGCAGGCAAATGAGCAAAGGGCTGGACCTGGTCCGAGGGCCACCAGTTTGCAGCCACCATCTGTGGCCGGCAGTACTGCACCAGCTGAGTGTGGGACGCTGGTGTCCCTTTACTGTGTGCTGGATGCCTGGGATTCCGATGCTAGGGCCCCCCGTGGTGCGATTGAGAAGAAAACTCTGGAATGTCGGGGGGGGGGGGGGGACAGGGAAGGGAGGGGGGCTGGCCTGGGGGAGGGGACACTCACAGGCCCCCGACTGCAGGGTCAGGATCAAGACCAGCGGGCTGATGACCAGGTGCAGGCAGTTGAGGGGCCGTTTCCAGTTCCCGTCCTCCTTGTCGGGGTCCACGACGGGGACGGTGAGCAGCATCAGGAACTCCACGGGCAGCTGCCAAGGGTGCCAAGGCAGGAGGGTGTCACCAGGGAGGCCTGCGTCTGGGCTGGCCGCACCCTGGGCAAGGTTACGCCAGAACGCGGCCATCGTGGCCGAGGCCCGGCAGGCCCAGTGTCCACAGCAGTCTCCTGCAGCTACTGGCGCACCAGCCCAAACCAAGTGCCTTTGGGTAACACAGATCCTTCCCCTTTACGGCTCTGGGGCACGGGGTCCCAAAACCGAGGTATCGGCGGGGCCACGTGCATCCCTCGGCTTGTGGCCCCCGGTCACTCCCTGCTGTGCTTCTGTGATCACATCTCCTCAGACTCTGCCCACCCCCCAACCCCAGACCCCCTCACATTCCCTATAAGGACCCTCGTGATGACATCAGGCCCACCTGGATAACCCAGGAGACTCTCTACCTCTCCAGACCCTTCATCACACCTGCAATCCCTTTTGCCAGGAAGGTAACAGAGTCACATTTCCGGGGACCGGGACCTGGACATCTTTGGGGGGCCGTGACTCAGCTGACCGTGGCACCTCATCCACTAATCCTAACCACGGCCCCATGCGTAGGAACTATTCTTTTTCTCACCTTCGGGAAAAAGAGACTGAGGTTCAGAGAGGTTAAGGAAGTTCTCCGAAGACGCGCAGAAGGGTGTGTGACCTGGGATCCAGGACCAGCTCCAACGGACTCCACACCTTGCGCTTTCAGTCAATAACTAAATTAATAATCACATGTACGGAGTGCTCACGACATGCAAACCGCAGAGACATCACAGATTTGGTTCCAAACCACCTCAGTAAAGTGCATGTCGCAATAAAGCGAGTCAAAAGAATTTTTTGGTTTCCCGGTGGATAGAAAAGTTATGTTTACACTACACTGTCTGTTAAGAGTGCTGTAGCATGGTATCTCAAAAAATGTACTACCTTAATTAAAAAATACTTCATGGGCGCCTGGATGGCTCAGTTGGTTAAATGACTGCCTTTGGCTCAGGTCATGATCCCAGGGTCCTGGGATCGAGCCCCGCATCAGACTACCTGCTCGACGGGGGGCCTGTTCCTCCCTCTCCCACTGCTTGTGCTATCCTGCTTTCTCTCTGCCAAATAAATAAATAAAATCTTTTTAAAAAAAAACTTCATTGCTAAAAAATGCTAACCAGCCCCTGAGCTCCCAACAAGCTGTAATCACTGCTCCCAGATCACCACGATCCATGGAGTAGTGGTGCAAAGTTTGAAATGTTGCAAGAAATTCCAGCATGGGACACAGGGGCACGAAATCAGCAAATGCTTTTGGAAAAGACCTGCTAAGCGCGGGGGTTGCCACAGACCCGCAGTTTGCAAGAGGCTCAGTGTCTGCGAGGCTTGGTAAAGCCAAGTGCAATGAAATGAAGCACATGCCCGTTTGGCACCGTACTCAGCCCTTCACGGAGTAGTTTTTACGAAACTGTCCCAATTTAATAAACTATGATAGGCCTGATACCGTTCATAATTCTTCAATCCCTTCCTGGAACAGAACTAAATGCCCATGTCCTTTGTCAAGTGATTAGAGGCTGCAGAATACACTTTCCTGCCCCCCTGATGTTGAACGTGGCCACAGGACAAGCTTCGGCCAATGGGTGCTTGGTGAATGTGATAGGAGTAGAGGCTTAAAACAGCGTGCAAAGTTTGTCTTGGCCTCTTGTGCCAAGACAAGAGCATACCCCCCAAGGACCCAGTGGCCCCCAGATCTAATCCTCAGGAGACTTTCGCCCAGGGAAACAACAAATGGTCAGAACAACCGGATCGAGCTCCCCTTGACCACTCCCTCATCTGAGCCCCAGAGCCCCCCTCACCAAGTCAGGAGGGGCTCCCTCCCATCTCTCTCTGTCCCAGATGCAATCCTTCCTCCATGGGGGGGGGCAGGTCAGGCCATCAGCCAGACTCTATGACTCGGTTTCCCCATCAAGTCCCACGTAATCTATTCTGAGAGGGTCTCAGCAAGACCCCAGCCCCTCCTCTCTCATTGAGCTGGAGAAGGTTGACTGGCCACTGTCCTGTGTTGTCACGGAGCCGGGAGCCCGGCTCCAGGGTCCCCCCTCCTACCTTGACCACCTTGAGGGCCCTCCAACACACTGACTTGCTCCTCCACTTCCTGTAATCCAGGGGGTTGAGGGCCCGGGCCAGGATCTGAACTGTGGTCTCCTGGTAGAAAAGCAGCGGGCGGTACTCTTCGCCTGGGTGTACGAGGCAGGAAGGGGCAGGTATCTGTGGCTGGCTCAGCCCTCAGAAGACCCTCTCCACTCCCCCTGGTCCTCCCAACCCTCAGGAAGAAGGAAAAGCCCAGGGCCTGGCTCAGCCGTCATGCAGTGAGAGGTGGGGCTGTTTCGGAGCCTCCTTCCTGGGGCCTTGATGGCCCCATCTCCCCACCTCTGTCACCCCCAGCCCTGCCCTGGTACCCCACCCCCGCTGGGCACAGAGTCCGGACTCACTGTAGTCATAGCTGTTGGAAGACACGGGCTCCTCTTCAGAATCTGAGAGCATTTCTGTAGGAGAGAGGGGTGTTTCACACGAGCCAGCTAGGGAGCCCAGACCCCCCCCCCTCCCCCGGCACTGTTCCAGAGTAGGACACCTCCGGGACAGGGCCGTTGCCAGGGTACAAGTGTCTAGGCCATCTGGACCTTGGATTTCTCAGCATTCTTACCGAGTGAGAAAGTCTAACTCAAAAAAAATCTTCAAATATAATGACGTAGCTATAAAGTCAAATTTAATAAGGGCGTTTGAAGACGTAACTCAAACATTTGCTAACTTCGATTTTGTACTTTTCAGAATTTGGAACCCATGATATTTTTCTTTTTCAGTCTGACCCTTTTTTTGGAAGTCCTCAGGAATGCTACAGCCTGAGCCCAGTAAAGAGGGGCCTAAAAGGAAAATGGTCTTCCTCATTGCTAGCCCTCGTCCTGCTACAGGTGCCCTTCGGCTCCCCTCCAGGCCTCAGTCCCCCTTTTGCTCCAGCCTGATGTGGCTGTGATGGGTCTAGAAGACAGCACAAGGGTGATGTGTGCTGAACTCTGAAGGCTCAGTTGACAGAGAGGGAGGAGAGGAGAAATCATGGCAGACTTCCTGTAGGGCGAGTCACCGGCACCTGTGTGTTGTTCATGGGGATGGGTATATGTATATGTACGTACGTGTGTTGCGTATGTATTTGTATATGTGTATATTTGTACGACTGTGTGTTGTGCAGGTGTTGTGTGCACACGTGGATTTGTGTATGTATGTGTGTTTGTGTGTGCACATATTGGTGTATAGGGAAGCATCTGGGTTCGAAGCCGAGGGCAGTGGGGAGCATTACTGGAGGTAAGCAGTGACAGCCCTGAGACAGATGTTGCCCTGGAGAGAGCACAGAGGAGGAAGAGCCCGTGAAACCAGACAAGCAGCTGATGAGGCCTCTCACCGGCACAGCCGAAGTGTGCACGTGGGACCTTGGCACAGAACAAGTGGGAAAAGTACGAAGAAGAGATGGACGGTGACGTTGGCCTCCAGAGATGTAAGGCAGTCGTGAAGGGTGCAGAGGGTGCGAGGCCCCGCTGGCCTCGCTTGGGAGCTCAATTCAGACCCTTACCTGGAGTGCCTGGCATGGAGTAGACCAGGGATCTCTTCCGCTGCCATCGGTAGATCCAGGTGCAGAGAACCACGGTGACCACATAGAACACATACAAACCTAGGTAAGCTGCAGACAAGGGCACAGGCCATCACCAAGTGGCATCCTGGCCATAGCCCCAGAAAGTGCTGCCCGTTCTCCTGCTGGTGCCTACTGGTGGTGGTCTGCGTTAGCCTAGCCCAGCACCAGTAGGGAAAATGGCCATTTCCTAGAGCCCACACCGCACCACCCTGCTTTCCCTTGGCCCATCTTCCCTTCCTGCCCTCCACAATCGGGCAATCAAAGAGGTAACGCCTGGCACGGACAGTGGCCTCCAGGACCCGATTCAAGTGCGAAGGGCTGGTGTCCTGCTCTGCGCCCTGGGAAGCTGAGCCCCGCAGACTGCAGCCCCCGAGCTCTGGCGGCACTGGGTTTGGTGAAAAGGGGCCTGAAGACAAATCAGAAGGCAGCAAGACAGAGTCTGCGGTGCTTTTCCAGACCCCCTCCCTGGTGTGGTGCCCTGTTTCTGGCAGGACCTGTGACCCTCTGGGACTGTTGCCTGTGCTTGGTGGCACCTGGTCCAGGCCTCCAGTCCTCGCTGGGGTCCAGCCCCATCCCCTTGCCTCTCAGGGGCTCCTGCGGTTGCTGATCCCTGGATGTCTCTGCATCTCAGTGTCCCTTGTGGGTCTCCAGAACCCTCTGTGAACTGTGCCTCTGTCCACGTCCCTTGAACCACGAGTGGGGTGTGTGTGCCGCAGGGACGCTGGGGGCACAGTCGGCAACCTGGCTATACTGCTTGTTAAAATGGGACACTGAGAAAACCCAGAAATCCAGAACATCCCCCCAGGCTCCCCCCGCTGCCCCCTTTGGTTATCTGAACCATAGGTTCCCTTTTTTGGCTCAAGCCAGCTTGAGGAGGGTTTCCTTCCTCAAAAGTGGGGCCACCTACTTGTGTCCCCTGGTGCCTCCCACCCGCCCAGCCCTGCGGCTGCTCACCCAGGGCCCATGCCAGTGTGACCCTGCCAAGGTAGAGTGTGGTGAAGGCCAGGTACACGGCCACCATGTAGAAAACAATGTCTCTGAGAAAGGGCCTGGAGGCGGCCGTGAAGGGGCGCAAGATGGTGATGCCACCGGCCACCGCGGTGGTAACCAGCACACCCGCACCTGGAGGAGAAGACGCGGAGCTCAGCCCGCCCCGCCCCCCCCCCCCCCCCCCCCCCCCCCCCCCCCCGCCCCCCCCCCCCCCCCCGGCTGCCCCGGGCCGCTCTTACCAAACAGCGCCCCGAAGGCCAGGCCGGCTGTGCGCGGATCCGAGAAAGCCACCAGGGCGCTGAAGATATCGGGCGCGCCATTCCCGAAGGCCAGGAAGGTGACGCCATGGGGGGGAGAGCACGTCAAGGGGACACAGAGCAGGGGCCCCAGCCTGTCCAGACCTGCCCCAGGGCCGTGAGCCGCCACGTGGTCTCCCAGCCTCCCCTCTAAGGCCCCTCCCACCCTCCGGGGTGCAGGCCCTGGACAAAAGGATACTGCCACGTTGTGGGAGAGCTTGAGCACGGTGGAAATGGCTGACAAGTTAGGGCAGAAACTAGGGAGGAAAAGCAAACAGGGTGTGCCTTCACGCCATCCTCTCTCCAAACACGGGGTCACCCCAATGTCAACCTCCCAGGGACTCCATTCCCATCTATAAGCTGGATGGGAGCCCAAGGCCACACTCACAACTTCGCCGCTGTGACTCCCAGAATCAGAAACAGGTAGAGTAGCCAGAAAGCCTGGGAGAGGGGTGCGGGGGGTGGGGGGGTGGGGGGAGGGAAGGGAGCGTCAAGTCCAGCCTGGGCCACCAGCCCCGCTCACCAACGCCCCCCTGCCCCCCACCCTGGGGCAGGGCCTCACATAGAGGGTGATGGCCAGAGGGAGGAGGTTAGGGGGGAAGTGGCAGAAGATGCCCTCGAGGTAGTTCAGGTAACCCCCTTGGCTGTGGCAGTCAGGGGTGGTCCGGATGAAGTCACAGCGGTCAGAGACGTTCAGGCCACACACCTCACGACACTGCAGGAAGGGAGGGAGGGGGGCGTCAGGGGTCGACACCCTGAGGGCAGCTGGACCAGGACCATCTAAGTAGCTGAAGATGCCCTCCTTCAGCCCAACCCCTAAGCCCCTCACACCCTCCAAGTGCCAACCCCAAGCTTTACTCTTCTTTTTTTTTTTTTTTTAAAGATTTTATTTATTTGACAGAGAGAGACACAGTGAGAGAGGGAACACAAGCAGGGGGAGTGGGAGAGGGAGAAGCAGGCTTCCCACCGAGCAGGGAGCCCGACGCGGGGCTCGATCCCAGGCCCCTGAGATCATGACCTGAGCCCAAGGCAGACGCTCAACGACTGAGCCACCCAGGTGCCCTTTACTCTTCTTGAATAGACTTGTTTACACGAGTAATTCATGAATTTGCTTCTCTTCCCTACCTTCCACAATCCCACCTTTCTCCGAAGTGCCCCCCACGATCAGTTTCCAGAGTCCCCTTACGGGCATAATGACCTTGTATGTCCATCCTATTATACAGCTACTTTTGTTTTACGGAAACAGATCCATCTTAAATCTCTTGTTTCTATAATTTGCTTTTACCACTTCACGTATATGCCACCTATTAATATACTGGTACACAGAATGATGAAGGTGATCAAAGTGAAAGCGCGCTGAGTAATTTCCATATGCCGGGCACAGGGCTAGGAGCTTAAAACGTATCTCAATTAATCTGTCCCACAGTCTTGCAAGGAAGACCCTATTATCATGCCCCATATACAGATAAGGAGACTAAAGCAGTGTCCTGGGGTCCACTCAGTGGTAGACAGGGTTGGAATTGAGGTTCTAGAACCTTGTCTTTAGCCATCACACTCCCTGTGGACTCCCTGTAGAGTCTGTAACATGAGTGTAGTATTTCATGCTCTGAATGATATGGGGGGAGGGTGGCAGGTGGTGGTAATATTTCCCCACTGGCGGGCAAATGGCTGTGTCTGATTTTTCAGTATAGCCAGCAATAAACATCCTTGCACATGACTCTCCGAGTACATATGAGAATATTTTGAAAGAGAGAATTCTAGAAGTAAAAGTGCTGAGTCAGAGTGCATCCTAGTCTGGGTCCCTCCAGAAGCAACGCGGAGACACGGATTTATGAGTGAATAAGTACGTATTTGGGAAGTGTATAGAATGTAACCACCACAACGGGGAAGCAGGAGAAGGAAGGAAAAGAAACCAGCGCGGCTGGGCTGGGACTGCCCACCTTGGGCTAGTAATCCCAGGAGCAAGGGAGCCGCGGTATTTACACACCAACTCCAATCGGCCATCAGGTGAGGATGCTGGGGGTGGGGGTGCGGGGGTTGTAGGCAAGTGCTTCCTGCCCACTGTGCTTATGGGGGAAAAGATGCCGGCCACTAGAAGTCAACAGAAGCCCACCAAAGTGGTAGTGTGCAAAGGATATGGTCAGCGCCCTGACAGCGCCCCTTACAGAGGGACAAATATCTTAGACATTCTATGGGTTTTGCCAAAATATGCTCCCCCAAGCTTTACTTATACACATGGGCACCAGCACCGGCAAATGGGATTCCCCACCTGCACCTGCCACCAAGCCTTTTCCAGGCTGATGTGGTAGGAATCTTCTTGCTGTTCAATTCCCAGTCCCTGATTACTTCTCAGTGCCCTTCTCAAGGCCATTTGTATTCCTTCTTTGAACTGCCAGTTTTTTTCAGTTGCAATGTTTGCTGCTTCTTACTGACTTGTGGAAGCGCTCTATGTAGTGGGTATTTGCCCTTTGTCACGTCATGCATTTGCTCAGTCATTGTCCTCTGCTTGGAATGTCCCTCCTCCTTCTCAAACTTTCTGTTAAAAGCTTTGTAAATACCCACTCCCACCCATTAGGATAGCTACTGCACAAAGCAAATAAAGCCAGAAACTAGCAAGTACGGGGCTGGGATGGGGGGGGATTCGGAGCCCTCGTGCACTGTTGGTGGGAATGTGAAATGGTGCAGAGCCTTGCAAAACAGCGTGGTAGTTCCCGAAAAATCAAAAAGAGAGTTAGTCACCAGGACAGGGATGTAACGCACTGCACGGTGACCAGGGAGCGCTGCTGTCTGGCAAGTAGGAAAGCCGTTAGAACATCACGAGGGAAAAAAAACATTTTTCCTTTCTTTTTAAAAATGTATCCAATAGGAGAGATGTGAACTAGGCTTATTGTCAGCATTTCACAATAGATGTACGTTAAGACGTTATGCCGTACACCTTACACTTAGCGCAGCGCTGGACATCAACTCTGTCTCAATAAAAGGGGAAAAACATAGAATCACCCTATGATCCGGTAAATCCGCTTCTGGGTTTATACCAAAAAGAACGGAAAGCCAGGTCGCAGAGAGAAGACGTGCACACCCGTGTTCACGGTGGCACTATTCACGACAGTCAGAAGGGCTAGAAGCAACTCAAGTGTCCCTGACGGATGCATGGATGAACCAGAGGTGGCAGATCCAGACCGCAGACCAACGTTCAGCCTTCGGAGGGAAGGGAGTTCTGACACACACTACACCATGGGAGAACCTTCTGGGGCGCCATAACAGAGAGCATCATGCTCGGTAGTCAGCGAGTCACCAAAAGACAAACACCCACTAACCCTACTTACAGGAGGTACCTGGACTAGTCAAATCCACAGAGGAGACAGAAAGCAGAAAGCAGCGGCTCAGGGAGGAGGAGATGGGGAGTTCTTCTTTATTGGGGACGGGGTCTCAGTTTTGCCAGGTGGGAAAGTTCTGGAGGTGGATGGTGGTGACAGCTATGACCGCACGAACATGCTAAGGCACCGAACGGCACACTGAGAAATGGTTCACAGTGGGAGAATTCTAGGTTATGTTGGTGCATTTTAGGTTATGTATATTTCACCCTAATTTCAAAGAAACAACTTTGTCAGATTGCGGCTCCACGATCCTTCAGCCCTCTCTGAACTCCCACCAACACCAGGCGGCAGGTGAGATTTCTGGATTCTGAGCCCCCTGGCCATTGTCCCAACCCTGCTCACTGGCTCTCTGCAGATGCAACGTGGAGCCCGCTGTACTTAAGGCACCTGCCGTCCCTTCCACCCAATACCCCACTCCTTCTTTGTCCCTGTGAATCCACCACATTCATAGTTCCCCAGATGCTTCCTCCAGGAAGGGTTCCCTAACAGCCTCCAGCCTACGGTGGATCCCCCAGGTATAGACTCTCATCATCCAGGTCCTCTCCTTCCAAGCACTTACGTGTTTTGAAATCCCCAGTTATTTGTAGGATCACAGATTTGTTTCGTGTCTACCTCTCCCACCAAAGTCTTGCACGGTGCCTGGCACACAGTAGGTCCTCATAACTGTTTTGCCACACACTGTGCTGGACACCATCCTCACTCAGTCTTCATGACAGACCCAGGAGGTTGGTACGATTCTTTCCACTTAACAGATTAGAAAACTGAGGCATAGAGAGGCAAAGTGACTTCCCCAAGGGCACACAGCCCACCCTTGCTAGGTGGTTTCCGACTCAGCTCTGCCTGAAAGTTACCAGCTGAAGCTCCTGGGGAAACAGCCCAACTGGGCAGGGGTAGTCCCTTGTCCTGCCTGCCCTCCCTCCCTCCTCACCGTCCTCAGGGTCAGCCAGGGAGGATGCAGGGAGACGCTCCCACCCCAGCTTGTCTCCATTCCCTGGCAGCAGAGTGAGCCAGCAAATCAGGTCCCCCAAATCTGCCTCCAGCCCCCGAATCAGCCCCCATCCCGAGGGGGTCATGCCCTCCCCCAAAGCCCACCAGCACCTGCCCCCAGCTCTCTGCCCTGGGGTGGCAGAGTCATAGTGGCCCTGCTCTGAGTCTGGGGTGGATGACTCTTCACCTCCTCCCCACTCCTTTCTCGTCCTCTTTCCTGAGTCACTTGGCCCTCTCCTGGCTCTGGCCAGCTTCTCCTCCCTAAACCTTAGCACCCCTATCTATAGCGCCGAGACGTTTATGCCCATCTCGGGAGGTTTAGGGGAGAATCTGTTGAGCTTGACACAGGGCTGGCCTGAGTGCTCAGTAACTCAGAGATTCTCTGGCACAAGCCACAGATTACCGAGATTTTCCTACCCCCAGGGAGCATGCCCCTCCTTGGAGGGGCAGCAGTGAATTTTATAACCACAGTAACCATAAACCACTTTCCCTTCTGTAAAATGGGTGTAATTACCCATTCAGCCTCAGAAGATGGGCATGAAGGTACTCTGCAGCCCCACAAAGTTGGCGTGGGCACTAAACACTCTCAGCCCTTCAGTTCAAGAGGGAGGAGTTTGTTATTCCATTCTCCTGGGAATGGGGAAGGGCGAGAACTCCAGCCTCCTGCAGGTGGGACTCCAGAGGGTCACTGTGAGCAGTCCCCTGCCTTCAGTCTTTAACTTGGGATGCACTGTCACCTCTCCTCTGCTTACAGACATCAGGATGGCATGCTTCAAGTTCCCGCAGCCTGTCTTAATGGCCTACGGGAAGAAGACTTCTTGCCTCTCACCAAAGTGTCCCCATTTCTCCTCCCTCCAAACATCCACATCAACAGCACCACTATCCCCCCGGAAATCCCCTTTCTTCCACCACTATGCCCTTCCTTCTAATCCATCAGTACGTCCCGCTCATTGTGCCCCCAACATTTATCTCAAACCCCTCCATTCCTTTCCTATCCTCCACAACCACCACCACTCACCTGGATAGCTACAAAAGCCCCCCACTGATCTCCCTGCTGCCGCCCTCACTCTTCTCAATCCATTCTCCCCAGGGAAGCCAGAGAGCTCCTTTGAAGACATAAATCAGACTTTGACATCCCTCTGCCTGAAACTCTCCATGGGCTCCCAACTACTGTAAACAAATATCATCTCCTAGCCTCAGCCTATAAGGCCTTTTGTAATCTGGCCACCACTACCTCTCCATCCTCATCTCTTAATATTCTCCCCCTCACTCACCCTGGTCCAGCCATTCTGGCCCCCTCACTGCTCCGGGAACATACTAAGCTTGTTGTTGCCTCAGGGCCTTTGTGCTTGCTGTTCTCTGCCTGGAATGTTCTTTTCCCAGATTTTTCCAGATGCCTTTATAAGTGACTTACTTTTTCCATTCAGGGCTTGGCTCAGAGGTCACTTCCTCACAGAAGCCCACTCTGAAGTATTCGGAAATACACCCTCCCCATCACCTGAAGAGGTTATTTGCAAAACACTTAACATCTTACCGCCTGAAATTTACATGTTTGCTCCATGATCTGTCCTCCCAGAAGACTGTTAGCTCCCCGAGGGCAGGAATTTTTGTCTATATTGTTCCCTGGTATACCCCAGGGTTCAGCTCAGTGCCTGGCACATAGTAGATGCTCAGTAAATATCTGTGGATTAGATGAATGCCAGCTTCCTACCTGGATGCTCCCGTCTTCCATGGGGGTCTGGTTCACACCTAAGGCTGAAAACTGGGGGCCAGTGTGGGCCCCTGTAAATGGGCCCCTGGCCCCGGACACCGTCTCCACCATCAGCAGCTCCACACGGAACCAACTCAGCACTGGGTGCAGGTACAGCTGACCCCGCGGAGCCTGGCCCTCACTCTCTGCTCCCCCTTCGGCACTGTTTCACTTCCAAACAGCTGGTCACTCCAGTGGCCTGCAGAGAGTGAGGTGAGAAGGAGGGACAGTGTCACCAAAGAGCCTAGGCCCCAGCAGGAAGGGACTGAAAACTTTTTCAGTTGAGGAACTGCCCTCCCTGCTAACCCCACCAAAGGAAAACAAATGTAGAAACCCATTCTGGATGGAAGCTCTTTGGTGGGCCCCAGGGTCCCCGCTCATTCAGCATGCAGGTTAGTTAATGCCCTTCTTCCTAGGTACCCCCGATAGTGTCTCCATGGAGATGCAGGCCTCTCCCACCCACACCCAGCCCCTAGCCCGAGACTGGAATTATCAGGGCTGGAAGGAGGAATCCCAGGACTCCAGAGGAGATTTCAGCTGGGGGGGGGGGGGCAGCTGGGGAAAATCAATACAGAAGGGGGCAGTGGGGGGGACTTGGCAAGCCCTCAGAACAACAAAAACATACTTCTGGGAGTGGACGTGGCCTTTGGGCCACCAATTTGAGACAACTAAGCAATGCTGTTCTATGTCTTCCAGTGAGCTAAGCACTTACCACAGATGACCTCATTTAATTCCCGCAACTGGCCAAGGGGAGGTACTTTTAATATTTCCATTTTACAGATGAGCAAACCCGGGCACAGAGCCAGGTCTGTGTCCTCACTCAGCCACTGTGCCTCACCTCTCTTCTCCAGTCCTCAGGACAACCATGGAGATGTCACTGTCCCTGCCTGTCTTACAGAGGCGGGAGCTGGGCTCAGAGCAGTTCCCTAACCAGCCCGAAGTCACAAGGCAAGGTCACAAAGCCAACCACAGCTTCTCCGATGGGGAAATCAAGGCCCAGAGGGAAGTGAATTGCTCAAAATCACACAGCATGTTAGCAGCAGAGCTGAGCTGGATTCTAGCATCTGCCTTTTACCTCAACACCAGGGCAAACCCAGCTTCAATCCTTCCAAAGAAATCAAACTGGGAAAAAAACCCAAGTCTGGCACACGAATTTCCTTCTTTTGGCTCTGCGCCCGTTGTAGATGAGCATGTTTTGTTTTTGCCATCAACAGAAACAAAGTCCAGAAAACGTTACTTTTTTTTTGTAATTCTTTGCATAGATATTTCTCAATGACCTGACAGGGCAGGAGTGGGGAGGAGGCTCCAGAGGAGAGAAGGGGAAAGGGGTGCAGAAAAGGCCTGTCCCAGCTCCCTTTTCTCACCTGTTAACTTTCCCCTCTCCTGTTGTTTCCTGGAACTTGGCACGGATTTGGAACCAGGCACTCCGGCTTTCCAATTCAGTCACAGCCACTTAGGAGCTGTGCGGCCTCGGGGAGGTCACTTCACCTCTCCGAGCTTCTGATTCCGCATCTGCAAAATGGAGACAAATGCTGGCCCACTGGGGCATACAATAAGAGCTCAATAAATGCCTGCATCTCTGGTGTGCCTCCTCTCTATTGGCTGCCTGTTTCTTGTAGTCATTCACAAGGGAGCCTTTATTGAGCACCTTCTGGGCGCCTGTCTGGAGCCCTACGCGCAGAAGACTCGCAGTCCTGATAGGAAGCGGCGGGCATAGGAAGTTGGGGCTGCAACCCCATCTGCGGCTGCACTTTCTAGGTACGACACCCCGGGGAACGGGAAACGTCAACGCGCTGTTTCCCAATCCTTGACGGATGTTGAGAAGTTGAAGTCCGGGTGCCCGCCCTCAGGCGGCGCCGGGGCGGACGAGGAGGCTCCCCTTACCTCCAGCCGGGCCTCGGACCCGCCAACTCCGAATCTCGACCCCGCCGGGCCTAGCGGCCTTCCCGGTCCCCTGCCGCCAGCCCGTACTGCCCGAACTTCCCCCCAGCCCGCCACCGCCGATCCGGGGGCCCAGCGGGTGGCAGAGTCCAGGGCACTTCGCAGGCTCTGCCCGGGCGGGTCCCGGTCAGGCCCAGCCCTCGCTGGCCCCGCCCAGTGACACGCCCCTGAGGTTGGGCCCGCCCCCACCCTTAAAGGCACAGGCTCCCGCAAGGTCCCGGGACTGTCCCCTTTCTTTTTCAGTCCGGTGCCTGTCGGTCGGCTTGTGCCGCTAAAGCGGAAGCTGAGATAAAACCTGACGGGTAAAGACAGCAGGAGGCCGGAGAGGGGGCAGTTAGGGGATGAAACTAGGGGTTTTATTTCCAGATGCTTCTGGGAATCAGCGGTGATAAGGGGCGCTTGAGAAGGTCCCAGGAGGGGCAGGTCCCGCCTCACCCACAGATATTCCGGCCGACCTGCCTGAAATGCCTCTGTTTGCGAGATCTCCTGATTAGGGTCAGCACTCCCCCTCGTAGCATCGCTTTTATTATTTTTTTATAAGTAAGATTTTATTTATTTATTTATTTGAGAGAGAGAGAGAGAGAGAGAGAGAGAGAGAGAGAGAGAGAGAGAGAAACAGCATGAGAGGGGAGAGGGCCAGAGGGAGAAGCAGGGTCCCCGCTGAGCCGGGAGCCTGATGTGGGACTCGATCCCAGGACTCCGGGATCATGACCTGAGCCGAAGGCAGTCGCTTAACCAACTGAGCCACCCAGGCGCCCAGGATCGCTTTTTTGTAAAAGAAAAATATGGCAAATAGACAAGACAGGGGAGTCGGTGCTGCATTCATACCCCTCCTCAATTCCCAGCCTCTGGAGAGGTTCGGGTCCCCGCCGTCCTTCCAGTCAGTACCAGTACCAGGGGCGGTGGTGGCAGGGGCGGTGGGCGGGAACTGGGGCAGACGTCCCCTCCGGGGCAGCCCCGCAGCCCGCCCCCGCTCCTGCAAATGCACCTCCGACGCCTCCGCCCAGCCTCCCCATCACCTGCAGGCGGCGGCCCCACTCCCCGCGGACGTTCCGGGCCCCTCACCGTCCAGCCCTCGCGCCCCTTTCTGACTTCGTCTGGTATACCCGCCGCCACCCTCTCCCGCCCTGGCCCGGGAAGGGCTCCCCATTCCCCGAACACCCTGCTACTTACACATGGCCCACAGCTCTGCTCCTTCTGAGGTCCCTGCCCAGGATGCCACACTTCCCTTTTCCAGCCCACAAACCCTTGCTCATGCGCCTGGCCCAGCTCAAAGGCCTGTCCTCCACCCTCCCCCGCCAACCTCCCCGGCCTTCTCCCCAAACTCCATCGCCCCCACCCTCCCGGGTTCCTTACCTTCAAAGAGAGCATTCCTCTGGCTCCCCACTCTGAGTCGGATGACACTGGTCCAGAGCATGTTATATTTGGAATCTCAGGGCGTCTGGTTTCTGTGCAAACTTTGGTAAACACACTCTTTGAGCCTCACTTTCTTTCACTGAAAAATGGGGATGATAATAGTACTTACCACATGGGGTCCTTGCAAGATGAAATCCAACACTGTGTGTAAAGCCCTGGGCCCCATGCCTGGAGGCTAAGTACTCCCTCCATAGAAGAATTATTCCATGAATCCTGCAATATAGGGACTGACATGCCTGATCCCCCATCAGCTGGGAGCCCATGAGAGCAGGGGGAAGGCCAAGCTCACCTGCATGCAAGCACAGGCAGCCAGCACAGGGCTCCCGCAGCTCCTGTCTGTGTGCGGCAATGACTGAGCCCGCTCTGGGGTCAGCTGCTCCCCAGCCCACCTGCTGTTTTGGGAAGTAGCTCCAAAACTGCTGAGTTTGGAGCCAAAGTCCATCCCTGAGGGGCCCTGACTGGTACTTGGTGGCCCAGCCAGCATTAAGAACTCAATGTCACCATTCTAGGTTAGCTGGTCGAGCAGATCACTATCTCCTTGCGTCCCAGGGCAGCTGGGGTGGCGGGGGGGAGGGAGAATGTGTGTTGGGAGATCCCAGGAAAGAGCCAAGGGAGGAAAAGAAGCATGGGGGACAGCGAGGGGAGACAAACGGGGCCTGAAACACAGCCCCCCAGGTTTGCTCTCGCTCTGGTGGACATTGTTCTGGGTTAGGGCCAATTTCCCAGTCTGGGAAAGGCCATTTTGACATCACAGACTCATCATAGGAGGACCTCAGAAGTCACCCAATCCAGGTTCAGATCCTAACTCTGCCACTTACTGGCTAACTTGACCTTGGAAAAGTCATTCAATCTTTCTGAGCCTCAGTGTCCTCATCTGGGGAATGCGGTTAAGAAGAGCACCTGCAGGGCACTCATAGGACTGTAGTCAGGATGCACTCACAGGACCGTAGTCAGGATGTACATACATGTAAACCCCATAGCCCACTGCCCGGTTCTTGCAAAAGCTGGATACACGGAAGCTGCTGGTATTATTATCACCATCATTATTATTGCCGAGGGTAGAACGACCTGACACACGGTCTGACACACAGTAGATGGAAATGTTGGTTGTGAATGAAGGATTTCGTGCTTGCATCAGGTATCTATAGCTGTCATCCGCAAAACAAGCACATTTTATTATATAGCGGGGTTTCTGCCCGTCAAGAATTCAGGAAGGGCTCAGCTGGGTGGTCCTGGAGCGGGTCTCTTATGCGCTTGCCGTTCAGCGGTGACTGGGCTGGGGTGGCCGGGGGCTGCCTGGACATTCCTCTTTCTACATGGGGTCTCGGGGCCTCTGCATGGGGTTTCTCTGCATGAGCTGGTCTCTGGGCTTCCGCAGAGCATGGCGGCCTCAGGCAGCCGGACTCCCCAGATGGCATAGCCAGGGACGGAGGCAGCTCTGACTATGTGTGTGAAGGTTCCAGGGGACCGGGCAGTGGCCGCATTGCCTTTTATGACTTAGTTGTGGAAGTGACGCTGTGTCACACCATAGGCATAGGTCCACCCAGATTCAAGGAGAGGAAACAGACCCCACCTCTCAGGGGGAGATACATCAAAGTCATGTCATAGGAAGAGTGTGTGATATGCGAGCTCTTGATGTGACTATATCTGGAAAGTACGATCTGCTGCCCTGCCTTACTCCACAGAGGTAACTAATGGTGCGTATTTAGGTGGCAGGCATAGCAGCAGAGGGGAGTTACATTTTGGAGGTAGGAGGAGAAAGGACCCTCAAATCCCATTGGGTGGACAGCTGTGTACAGCATCACACGTGGGCTGGTCTTGTCCTCAGCATCTTATGAACAAACCCCAAATGAATAAAAATCAATAAGGACTGTTTATTGAAGACTTACATTTGTAGGGAGTGTTCACATGTTTGTCCCATCTAACAGCCCCATGGGGTGAGGGGTACAGTGATCCCCATTTCGCAGAGCAGGGAAACTGAGGTTCAGGAGATAAAGTGACCCGGCTCCAGGGCCCCCACTGGGAAGCGGCAGAAATGGGATTGGCACCTAAATCTGTGTGATTTCAAGTGAGTCCCCTTTACCACCCTGGGCCAAGCGTCCTGCATCACTCAAAGGGAAGGCCAGCTCTGCCCCACACCCAGCACGCCTGTTCAGCTTGCCCAGGGTATGGCGGCAGTCCCAGGAATAATGCAAGTACCTCGGGAACGTAAGCAGAAGTGCTAAGGCTTGGAGGGGTATGTCAAAGAGGAACCGGGGAACCAGAAATTTCAGTCTTAACCAAAAAGGCCCAGAGACTTGGAAAGTTCCTTCAGGATGCCCAAGTCTTACCTGCAACCAGTCCAAGTTCCCTCTGGATCCTAGCAGCCCTGGGAGTGAGCAAATAGTCACATCGCACCTACTTAAACCCCCCCAGGGACGCGGCGCTCACTACCTATTACAGCAGCTCAATTACCAGAGAAGCACCTTCATTGGCATTGCCAGGGGGAGTCTCCATTGGAATAATCCTTCTAGAAAGTGAGTTGGCAATTGATAGCTGTCCATCTTAAGAGCCGCAAAAACACAGGTGCCTTTGCTCTGGAGCGTTTCTGAGTGAAGAAGAGAAGATGTGAGCCATGCTGTCCGCACAAGTGTTCAGGACAGCGATCTCTAAAGTTGTGCGACAGTTAGAAGTCCCCTAATGGTCTGGCAACAGTGGATCGGGTAGACATCTCTGGGATCTCCTGGGAAATGTTGCCATGAGCTCATTTCACAGTCTGTTTTTCTTTCTCTTCTTCCTATGCCTCCTCCTCCGTCAGAGAGAGAAAATCTGCTTTTCTAGAACGTCCTCACCTGAGCTCTAGCACTGCCTCCTGGAAGCAATTTAGGTGACAGGCGGTGTGCAGAACTGAGAACTCTGAACTGAGAGAAGAAGGGCTGAGGCCAGAGAACAGTGCACCCTGGCTCCGTGCTTTATCTGCCTGGTGCTTCCCTAGCATCATGTTCTAGAAGGCCTTTCTGTTCCTGGGGAACATCTGGTTCACCTCCACCAAGATATTCCATATATACTTGGCTTCCTCTTCCAATGGAGGCTTATAATTTATTTGCTTGCTTGCTTTCTTTTTAAAAATGTTTAAAATTTATTTTCATTTTTTAGAGAGACGTTGAGTGGGGGAGGGGCAGAGGGAGAGAGAGAGAGAGAGAGAATCTGAAGCAGACTCCATGCTCAGTGCAGAGCTGGACACGGGGCTCGATCTCATGACCCCCGAAATCAAGAGTCAGGTGCTTAACCGACTGAGCCACCCAGGCGCCCTTTTAAGGTGTGTTATTGTGGACTATATTTCATATGCAAAATAGGGCAAAAATAGTTATTTATTTACAGTTAAACTAATAAAATAAACACATAAATACCCTCCATTCAGGTTAAAAAACAGAACTTTATCAGTACCTTAGGAGTCTCTGAAATCACCATCAACTTGATGATTGTGTAAATCATTCTTCCATCGTATGTATAAAACTTTCTTTTGTTTCATATATATATATGAAATATATAGAGAATGTATATGTCTTATTTCTAAAGTATTTTATTTGACACACATAACAACATAGGGTATTGTTATATATTGTTACATATTATGTATACATAAATATGTTATGTTATAGTGCATGTTATATATACATTACATGTACATATATACATTTATCACTATATAAGTATTCCTAAGCAATGAC